AGGATGGAGTTGGCGCTGTTGAGCAGCACCAGCAGCAGGAACGGCAATACATGGCTGATCCAATTGCTGGCCACAGGGTTATCTGCATGAACCAAGAAAACATATTTAAAAAAAATTGTGTTCTAGTTTTTCTTGTGTTTTTTTCTTCAACCGAGGTATGGCTCTGTTACGACTTGATTGGCCCCACCCACATTTATAGTAACTTTGTCTTGTCAAGTCACGTCTTTCTGACTGTAGCGCATAGGGATCGTTCAGAACTACGTCCTTTTTCTTTGGATTCATTCGGCAAATTACGGAAGCCCAGCACGGCGCCTGCCAGACGCGGGGTAGGCCACACCACAGTACACGCATGCACTGCAGACAAGATGTTGCCTACCTAACAGGCGCTATGAGACCCCGCATAGGCAGGTTGGCTAAACCTGTTTTTGGTAGGTTCAGGACGGCAAATGACGGACTTACTGGATGATCCCATTTGGGCCAAGCGAAGAGACACCCCCCTCGCGTTGTACAGTACAGTTACAAATGTGGATGGTGCGTGCCAGCCACCATGCAGAAATGTTAGGGCGTCGCCATGAAGCGACGCGAGTATTGTGCTCGATATACAAAGCATTACAAGACGTGATGCGAGGGAACGCTCAAGCGTCCGGAGCCTCTACACTTAGAGGCGCTCAGGACGGGCAGCCGTTGCATACAGCTGCTGGGCGGGTTGGCCAGACCCACGCGTTGTAGGCGCTATCATAGCATCAGCATTACGACAGTCGTATTGTGGGCACCTTTAACACATTCAGTGCTCCTGTGCATCCTGGAGTTCGAAAAACCCAGTAAAAACGTGACCACATTGTGGTCACGCCATACCGAACTTGTTCAACACATTCATTAACCCGCGCTTAACAATAAATCTCCACGAACCCGGAAGAAAGTAGAAGTTGAGGAGGTTCCAGACGCCCCTCCACACATTGACAGTCCCGAAGAAGGAGAACAAGTGGTAGATGTCAACGACAAGGACCCGTGAGAAGCCGGACATCCTCTGCACTACGGACATCATACATGGTTGCAGGCTGAACGCCACGATGGTGATGCAGTAGCCGATGGTCTGCAACAAAAAGTGACATTTAGCCTTTGTTTCCCAGACTTACTGGAATGAGTCCTGTGTGATCCCTGGCTTACCAGCGATCCCCAGGCGGACCAGTCGTAGCGCTTCGGGTAGAGGAAGATGTCGAAGATGCACCACGCCCCGCGCCACACGAACACCACGAGCGTGTGGACGACGAGCACGGAGAAGAGGCAGTCCAGGACATACAGCCACGTCTGCCTGGAGCTCTGAAA